AGGTCATTGATGAAGAAGTTAAACAAGACTGGGCCCAGTACTGACCCCTGGGGGACACCACTAGTTACCAGCCTCCAACTAGACTCGGCGCCGCTGACTCCAACCCTCTGAGTTCTGCCATTCAGCCAGTTCTCAATCCACCGCACCGACCACTCATCCAGCCCACATTTCCTGAGCTTCCCTAGGAGGATGTTATGGGAGACCGTGTCGAAAGGCTTGCTGAAGTCGAGGTAGACAACATCCACTGCCCTCCCCTCATCTACCCAGCCAGTCATGCCATCGTAGAAAGCTATCAGATTGGTCAAGCATGATTTCCCCTTGGTGAATCCATGTTGACTACTCCTGATAACCTTCTTTTCCTCCACTTGCTTGATGAAGACCTCTAGAATGAGTTGCTCCAGCATCGTTTTCAAAAGAAGGCAACAGAATGGTGGCAAGATGCGAGGGAGGCTGTTTTGGTACACGCCTTCAACAGCCCCAGCCATGCTGCACTGCAGGGGAACCCCTAACTTATTCAGGTGTTATAGGAAGATGTGTTTTCACTGGCACTGCAAAGAGCACTGCTACAAACACAAACCCTTGGGGTAACTGTCAGCAGTGAGAGAACTTGACCTGCCAAGATAGTAAAGCTGTCCACAAACATCATTCACCAGCCCCACAGGTTCTTCAAAGGCTGAACATTTCTTTTCTCTAGAGCTACACTCTCAGAAGCCTCTAGGCTTGCCCTTGTCTTAAATTATATTGGCTCTAGGCAGATGAGGAGAACTTTCGGTTTCTCTGTCACTTCTGAGACAGCTTCACAGCCTACAAAATGCGAGGCACCTACCAGCCATCAGTGGATGAGGGAAAAGTATTGCTTTTCGTAACCTGCCTGTATAATCTGCTGTTCACAACCCTCAATCACCTCAGGTTGCTCTTTTGAGCTCCCTTGACATTCACAAGCTTCATTTTGGGTTTTGCGCCTGCCTCGCGCTGAAAGCTGTATGCTAATTGCAGTCCCAGGGGCTGCACAAGGAAACTGTGACCTCCCGGCCTATGACATAATGCTTTTTTATATCCCGCACCAAAGACCCACTTCCTACTGCTACACTGTACGCCAAGTACTAAGCACAGACCAGGTCAGCTATTAACACCTCCATTTCTCTTCCAGTATTACTGTTCTATATTTGTTTACATCGACTTTTTTTAAGATTCCCCCACTGGATGGATTAGTTCACATCCGCTTTTCACACTGCCTTTCGGACTGCTACTCTACACACAAACCAGCAGGTACTCTCACTTCTCTTCCACGCCTCTCTGCCCCATCTGGCATCTCCGTATCTTCCCACGGCAGCATTAGCCACTAGAAAAACGTCCCCTTTGAGATGACATGTGGCTGTCTCTGTTTGCAACCTCTGGTATTTCAGTCGCTGGGGATGGCCTTCACATCTAAACTGTCCCGATACCTCGCCCATTAGGAACAAATAAAAGGAAGAAATGCTCAGGGATGTTATGACGCCTGCACCAACCTACACATGACCCACGCTTTACCTTGTTGGCCAATTTCTTGTTCAGCTCTTCTGCAATGGATTCATTCAGTTTTCTTTCAAACTGCCAGGGAGGAATTCTGACCGTGTCAGTCATCTCTACCAGGACAAACATGGTGGCGGGAGCACCTCTGAGGAGAGAGAGAGAGAGAGAGGACACCAACAGCCTCAGTAACCGGACCACTGCGGGGGCGACCGAGGCCCCCAACACCTGACCGGGGCGGGCCTGGGAACCCACCCCAAGGCCTCGCACGGGGCTCA